TCTATTCGTTTATGGGATGTTAAGACAGGGTAATAAAAGACCAAATTGGATGCTCATAAGAATTCTGTCAACTCAGTATGCTTCTCACCTGATGGTACTACATTAGCATCTGGTAGTAGCGATAACTCTATTCGTCTATGGAATGTTAAGACAGGATTATAAAAGACCAAATTTGATGGACATAGTAGTTTCGTTTTATCAGTATGCTTCTCTCCTAATGGTACTACATTAGCATAGAGTAATAGTGATAACTCTATCCGTTTTTGGGAAGGAAAGACAGGAAAAGAAATTCAATCCTAAGATAAAAATTATAAAGATATTTTAAATTATTTTAAGACCCTACTTATCGAAAACAGTCCATTTTCAGGTACCTATTTAAATATTTTATTAATTTCTTAATAATCTATTTTTTAAGCATAGGACGCTTTAGTTTTAAAAAGTGAATTTGTAAATTAATTAGGGATCAACTTATACACACTATTTAAACAAAAAGGTAGCTGTATTTTTGAAAGCCAGTGAGACTCAAAGTTAAAATGATTATCATTTCCATTACCAATATTTAAATTACCTTTAATTTTTATCCTATCCTATATTTTTATATTGATTTCTATTTTAAATTCTATATTAAATTAATTTTTACCATAAAAATCCTATATACTTACTTAACACATCATCTCTTTTTAATGTTCATTTATTTTCAGTTTTTATAAGATAATGTAAGATTAATCAACTATTTAGGATGTTTTATCAACATCTTATTCATAAAATTTCTGATTGTAAATTTATTGAGAGTAAATAACTAATTTCGATTAGTAAATTAAATTCCAAATTATTATAACTTCATTATCAGAAAAAAACATGAAATGTAAAAGTAAATACTTTAAGTATCAATATATCCAAATTCTAAAAATGTATATTTATAAGATGGAGATGAAAAATGCATTTTTAATTTTACTAATACCTCTATAATATTGCCCGCAATTCATCTAACTGAACCAATAGTTTTAGTTATATATATAATCAAATAAATTGATTTAATTAATTACATAAAAAAAATTAAAGAACACTTGAGATCAAACCTTTAAATCCAAAGCAAATTCAATTAATTATCAGAATTTTTTCTATTATTTTTCAATACTCTTTTATCTTAAGAAAACAACATTGGTTATAATATAAATGAAATTAAATGTTATTCATTCTTTGAATTTTCTTAAATACCCAAACAGTAGCTTTCTTAAAAGTAGCTACTTCAAAATAAATTCCGCCATGACTATATGCTATATCTATAATTCTATTCTAATAAGACTCAATAATGGTTAAGTTTAAATATTATAAATAATTTTGATTTATAGAACAACTTTATTTATAGTGTCATTAAATATACAAAGGATGGATAAGATTTCTCATTAAGTTCTTATTACATGATTATGTTATTTTCAATTATAAAATAAAAATGATATGTAAAGGTACTAAAGCAATTAAAGTTGATTATATAAAATAAGCAAAAAATGTTTTTAACATAGGGAGCATCTAATAAAATTTATTTATCGCAAATTTTTAATTAAGAAAAAAATCATTTAGATATGTCGAAAAATGTAATATACATTGTTAGAATAAAATTAAATTATATTTCAATTTTTCCTACAAAAGTTTTGATGAAGAAATAATTTCTTTGTGAATGATTCTAAGTAAATACCTATTTTGGAAATCACTATTTTATGATAAAATAAAAAGAAAATTTTTAAATTGAAGGATTCTTTAGATTCTAAAAAGTAGTTGAAAAGGATTAGTTTGTATTTGTTAATAATATAAGCCAAATTATGTTATTTTCAACATCATATTCTAAATTTTATTTCGAAAAATTAAAAAGGACATAAGTTGTATGATGTATTTTTCTTAATAAGAATGTTTAAAAATATCCACAGATGAGAAATCATATTTTGGGATGTTAAAGCAAAAAGAATGTTGGTATATTAAAAAGTCTTTTGAATAAATAAAGTCAATTTAGTTTCATAGGATGGTAGCTCCTTGCTTTATAAAGTTATAAAAAATTAATAAAGCTCTGGAATATTAAAGTTAATGAATCATCTAAAGCATAAATACTTCTTTAATATTTCATTAATGCACTATCTGTATCTCAAGGTGAGTTTTTATTAGCTTGTGG